AGATAAAAACGCGATAAGATTGATAAAAATAAAAAATTTGAATAAAATCAATAGTACTGATATATAAAAAAAAAAAAAAAGTGAAATGTAATCGATTGAAAGAAGCCAAAACAATTCATTTAATAGGATAAATGTTTTTTTATTTTATTTATAATTTACTGAAATTTTTACATTTTCTTAACGTTGCACAAAAATTTATTTATTCAAACTTTTAAAAAGTATTTTGTAACCATAAGGTACCTGAATAAAGACGTTTTTTTTTTTTTTTTTTTTTTTTATTCGATGGTAGAATATTGTCTCTTGAACTCAGTGCATGAATTGATTTCATAATAGGCAATATTTTATATATATAGCGTTTATTATGTATATACAGTTTTTTTTGTTATCATCTCTCATATACTCTTGCATACATTCTGTGGCAGATGACATTTCCACAAGTTATTGTTGTTTTTATTTGCTTATCACTATATTCTCTAACGAATTTTGTTTCTTCGTCATTTACTTTTTGCGTGTGAATCATTTTATTATCTTTAAATTCAATTATGGATTTAACATGAACACCGTCTATTCGTTGTTCATCGAATGATATACCTGGACGAAAAACAGCGGATACACTTACCATAGGCCAATAAGTTTCAAAAACGTATTTTCCATCTTTTTCGTACAATTTTATTGTCTGCCGAACTATTTGTTCTAATTTCCTAAAAAAAAGTCTGACTTTAGTACGTTTTAAATATTCATCATAATTTTCCGATTCTACCAATCTGTATTTTTTGTTTAAATATCTTTCCATTATAATTTTGAAATTAAAAAAAAAAAAGAAAAAAAAAATTGTGTAAACAAAAATGGAGGTTTTATTTTGTTTTCAGAAGGCTGTAATTAAAAGGCTTTTTTACAAAAAATTTTTTTTTATTTTCTTAATTTTGTAGTAATTTATGTAAAAAAAAAAAAAAATTTTTTTAAAATTAAGGATGTTTTTTTTTAAATAGGTTAATAAATATTTTTTAAAAATTGTTGTTTTTAGGTTATAATATTTGAAATTTAATGCAAAAAGTTTTATAAATGTTTAATTGAAAATTTTATTTAGGGGAAAAAAAAAAGAAACATTTACTAATGGAAATTTAGAAAAAGTAAAAAAAAAAAAAAAAATAAAGTGATATAAATAACCAAAAGAAAAATAAAAAAAAAAAAAAAGGTAAAAAGAAAGGTGTGCAAAACACGGAACGATTTGTTTTGTTTTGTTTTTGTTGTTGTAAACTAGCATAAAGCAAAGGCGCACAAAATTCGTTTGACTCCTTCCGGAACGATAAACATCATGTTTTTTTCTTTCTTTACCGTTTTCTATTTAGACAACAAACATCACGCCTGATCTCTTGTATTATAATAGATTTTATATTTTATTATTCTGATTTTCTTTTTTCTATCTTTCTTAAGTATGAACTTTTGCTTTAATCTTGTGTCAACATTTGCTTACATTTATCTCATATTGCCAAGGTAATTAAATGTTTTTACATTGTTGACACGAATCCTCTTTGGTTTGCGCTCTCTCTCTCTCTATGTCATGGGCTATTCAACTCATTTTATTTAAATATTGTTGGCACGGGCATGTTTACCATTATAGTCCTTTAGGTGTAGTCATGCTATCGATAAAAAAACTTGATTTTCTGGCGTTTTTCTTTAGTTAACCTTTTTTAATTTTATTTTAAATTACCTTCGAAATATTATACGCCTTCCTCCCATAAAAAAAAAAAGAAGAAAAAACCAAATATGGAGCACTTCGTTAATATATATAAATATATTAGAATTGAGGGTCGGTTATCGTTGGATGTAGTTTAGTTTTTTGTTTTTTTTTTTTTAAATATGGATTTCCTCATGACGACAAGCTTTTGGTTTTTTTTTGAAATTTATGTTTTATTTTTAAAATATAAATTAAATATAATGAAACCCATCAAATACGTTATCTTGTAATTTGTTTTCATGGCTGATTTTTTAATCTTTAACTCGTTTGTTTAACTTGTTTTATTAAAACATCATGTTTTAGTTGGGTTTTTTTTTTTTAAACAGCAACCCCGATTTTAATTTAAAATGCAACCAGATATTTTTTTTATTTAAGTTATGATAGGATTAATAATAATGATATTAATTAAAGTTATTTATGTAGCAAGGTATTTTTTCTTCCGGATTTAAATAAGTTTTTAAATGTTAAACTCGGTAAAAGTTATTCATTGAATATTTAATAATGGAAATTTTATTTATTTTAAATTAAATATTTAATGTGAATAAATTTAAAAAAAACAGCGAGATTTTTTTTTGGTATTGTAATTTGGTAGTTATAAAATTATTATCCCTTGTTAAAAATAAAATTAAAGTATATATATATTTTTTTTTTCATTTATTGTTTTTATTATAAAAATGTATAATTTTCATGAATTAAAAAAAAAATGTTTCTTTTTCCGCGTATTTTATGGTTTTATGGTTTCGTTTCTCAGTTGACGATTTCCCTTTCAATGTCATTGCTTTTTATATTTTTCACGTAACGGTGAATTTTATAATTGCCATAGATTAAACCATTAGTCGAAAAGTAGGCCTACTAGAACTTTTGGTAAATAATAAAAGTGTTTTTTTTTTGCGTAATTATTTTTATTAGGTAACTCAATTAATTTGTATCGTGAAACGTAAAAAAAAAAAAAAAAAAATTTGTGCGCTTTTGATATTTTTTTCTATCAAATAATAATAATTATTTTCTCGTTTTGATAAATAACAATTAAAATATAATATCAAAATTTAAATTAATAAAATATATTGTTTGTTTTATTATTTTTCGTTAAATTTAAAAAAGAAAAACTGGACAACCTCATACAAAGTTTTTTTTGTGTGTTCGTTCAGTGTAAAAAAATTATATTTTTTACGGGAGATTGCGTTGAACAAAGTATTCAATTTACTGTTATTTTTTAAATTTTGGAGGTTGTTTGGTTTGAAACAAACATAATAATAATAAATAAAAGTCAATTATTTCTCACGTTTCATAATAATTATGAAAAAAAAAAAATTTTTCTTTTTTTTATCTTTTTTTAACGTAAAAATCACGATCCTTTGATAATTATTTAATTTTATGAGATAATAAAGCAAGGATCCTTAAATCTTGGGTAAAAAAAAAAAAAAAATCAAGGCTGATTTATTATATTCCCTTGCACAATATTATAAAAAAAAATAAATTTATAATAATAATAATAATAATAATAATAATTTTTATTTAATTATTACAAAATTAAAAATTTCTTTTTTTTTTTAAAAAAAAAAGTTTAAAATTTAATTAAATACAATAATTATTTAATTTTGTAAAAAATTTTTTGAAATTAATACGTCTATCATATGATTTTAAAAAAGTTTTAAAAAAACATTTTCCTGTGTTTTTTATTATTATTATTATTATTATTTGTTACGAGGAAACTAAAAATAGGAATACTGTACTTTCGCTTTAATTAGATTTCCTTAGTTATTATTATTATTATTATTATATTTTTTGTTGTTGTTGTTGTCGTTGTTATACTCTTTTGCTCTCTTTTTTTAGTAAAACTTTCATTTTATTTTTTTAATCGTTTATGTGATAAAAAATAATAGAATATTAATTTGTTACCCTGTTATTATCTAAATTTTAAGGAAATACGTGGAAAAAAAAAAAAAAAATGGATGTCAAATCAGATGTAAGAAAAACAACGACAATAATAATAATAATAATTCTTATTATTCTTCTTCTTATTATTAGACTTTTGCCTTTTAAAAATTAATATGATAACAAATTAATTTCAAGCAAAAGAAACTTTCTTTTTTTTTTTCTTATTGTAGGAAGAATATGATGGCGTAACTTTAAAAAAAAAAAAATTAATCTGATGGCATCTCGATTTTATAATTAACATTTAACATAGGAAATAATTAAATTCAAATGAAAAAAAAAAAAATGAACAGAAGAAATACATTTTTTTTTTTTTATTAACAAAAAGTAATAAAGTGTTAAATATTGTTTTTTTTTTTTAAATTTTTTGTTTTCTCACTTTTACAGCAATTAGCAAAAAGTCAGGTGTTAAAAAAAAGAATTTTGAGTTTTTTAATAAACGTGAGAAAATAAAAAAAAAAATTTTTTTTTAAAGGGATATTTATTAGTACTATTATACAAATTTGTTTGTTTTTTTAAATTAAGGTGTTTTACAAACAATTAACTTTTATTTAAGAATAAATAAAAAATTAGAGCATTTAACCAAAAAAAAATATACAAAATAATAATAATAATAAAGTAAAATTTCCGTATGGTTGCTACGAAATGGTAAAATAAGCAGAGCATATGTAAATATAAGATTCATGTATTAAACTCGAATTATTTTTTACTTTATTTATTTTAAATAGGTTATAACAATTTATTTTAGTAATTATTATTTATTTATTTATAAATACGTGTATTTATTTATTTTTTTTAATTAAATAATTAAAAACTTAATTTGTAAGGGTAACGAAGAAAAACTGAAAACTTTTATTCGGATTATTAAACCAAAGCTAATAATGGTTACTTTCCAGTCGAAAAAATTTTTATTAACAATTAATATTAACTTTATTATTGTATGTATTTATAAAAAAAAAAAAAAATTTCAACTATCCATCGCTCGTTTTGCTCTATTTAGAATTTAATTTTTATTATTAGTGATTGTGTCATACGGTGTGTTGTTTTTATAGATATAATCATTTTTTTTTCAATTGTATAAATTTAAAAACAACCCATCTGTAAATAATATGATAAAAAAAATTTTCGGTTATAATTTTTTTTAAATAAAGGGGAAAATGGCAAATCCAACGGGATTAATAGTTCATCTGGCGGAAGCGGAAACAGTAGTAACACTGGCACATCACCACCACCCTTATTAAAAATATTGAATTTCTTTTGAAATCGTGTTGGCATCTTTCTTTATTAATGAAAAAAAGAGTGGATCCTGTTTTTTTATTTAGTTATAATGGTATATTTTATACACACCACCTTTCTTAATATACGTAATTCGATAGTAAATAAATTTTTTATGAAAATTTAATAAAACAATTAAGTGGAAGAGAAACCAAAAAATATCGTTTTTGACGATGCGGGCATGATTTTAATTTTCTTACTCTTAAGATTATCGTTCAATTAATTTTTTTATAATAAATTCAATTTGATTTATAAAATTTTGTATTAAAAACATTGGTTATGAAAATTCAAAAAAAAGGAAAAAATTTTTAAAACGCTGTTTGCGTTGCATATAATGTAGGATAATAATAATAATAATAATAGATACATGTTAGCTTTTTTTGAGAGTTTTAAAAATGATTAAACGTTTTCACATGGCCTGACTGACCTAAAACTTTTTCCTCTCCCCTCACCTGATTTTACGCTTTTTCTTTAATTGCAATATTTTATTTTTAGATTCTTTCTTTGTTGATGTCGAGTAAAAAAATTCGTTTTTTTATGTTTCTCGTTGATATTTGGTCTTTGGTCTCTGTAATGGAATTTAAAATTTTTTTTTTTTTTTTCACGAACAAGTATATTGGTTGGTTTTATTTTTATTCCATGTATTGTAAATATCATCATCATCATCATCATCATCAGGCTTTTAAAAGTACTTTTTCATTTCTATATCATTTTGTTTGAAAATAAAAAATTCATTTTATTGGGATTAATATTTGTTTTTACAATTTTAAAAAATAAATTTTTTTTTTCAATTTTTATAAAAAATTTCTTTACGTAATGCTCGAGCAATCATTAATAAAAAAAAAAATTTTATTAATTTTTTTTTTTTGGTGAAATCGTTTGGGATTTTTTTCAATGGGCGGAATTAATAATTTTGATAACTTTCAATTTATTTATTGAAAAATACAAAACATTTGGTTTGACATTGGTTTTTTACTTTATTTCTTTACTTTTGGGTAATTTTTTTTTTTTTTGAATGATTCGTCATAAAGTAAAGGTGATTGAATTCAATCGTGGGCCTTCATTTGTTTTTTTATCATCTCTATGGAAACATTTTTAAACACAAAAAGTTCAACGGGTTTGAGTATCTTCAAGGTTGCCCCATTTCGACTTCAATAATCAATAATTTCCAGCATTGTTGTCTTCTTTACGATTTGTATTGCCGATGGAAAATTATTACGAAAAAAAAATTATATTTTTACAGTGAAATAAAAAGAAAAAAAAAATTTCATAATTATTTTCACGTTTATCTTATTATATCCCGTATAAAAAAAAATCAAATTTTTAATAGATAAAATAAATGTGTACACGCGTGAAATCCTTAACCCGATTGCGTCGATTGCAGTAATAATAATAATAATAATTCGTCACGAGTATTTTCACTGGTTCCACGTTTCATCAGGTTTTTGATAATACGACTGATTATTGCTGAACTATTTTCCTCAACATTAAAATATTATTATTATTATTATTTTTAACTATATATAGTTAAAATCAAGCGGGTTAAAGATAAAAAGAAATAGATGGATACCTTTAAGGTGTTTTTTTTCTTTTTTGCTTCACTTCGAACAAAAAAAAAAAATTAATCAAAATGTCCGCAAAAAATTTTTGTTTTCAGGTACTCTAGGTTGATTTTTACTATAATCTTTGTCTTTCAACTTTGCAATTTTTCAAAAAAACATGTTCACTTCTCGATTATTAATACCTAGACGGGCAATTTCTTGCCTTTTGGTCTTAATAAAGTTTTTATTCGAAATAATTTAAAAGTAATTTAGGAAAAGTTTTTTTTTTTTTTAATTGCCTAAAGGTAAAATAATAATAATTTTAATGTTATATATTTAATAGCCCGAAAAAAAAAAAATATTTCAATAATTGTCGTATGTGTTTAACATTCTATAATTCAAATCGAAAAAAAGAAAAAAAAAGTTTATTATTTGGAAAAAAAAAGAAAAATGTAGAATCATGACCGAAGGCCAATGACAAGGATTTTTATGACTCTTAGATTGACTTTTAAGAGTTCATATCTTAATGTGTTCAGGCGTGTCAGAGTTATACAATTTTGGGTTAATTCATACCTATTACGTCATCATTACAACTGTGTATATACCTTTTTACATCCTGCTTTAATTTTAATACCAGTTTTGCCCTTGCAAATATATTAGTCATAGAATATCGGCGTTTCGGTTGATTTTAAAGACAACGACTTCAATACTTTTACATAATAATAATAATAATAATTTTTTATTTTGTAATTTCCAATTTTTTTTCTTTTCTTTTTTAATCCTAGATTGAAACCATTGAACCGGGGCCTCATTTATTTATTTATTTTTTTTGAGTTACGGAGGTCAAATCCGCGGAAATTTAATCCTTTTTCTATGATCGGTTGTATGTTCGTCCTTCGTCAAGGCTTTCTTATTTTTGTAACACAATCTTTCGTTAGATATAAAAACGTTGTGACACGTTTTTTTTTTTTTTTTTGCTACGGCCCTGAAGGTGGTATACCAATAAAAAAATGAAAATGGCATTGAAAAAAAGAGTTGACGTCCTACTCGTACCTACTTTGACATTTTAAAATGAATCTAAAAAAAAAAAAACCCTAAAATTTTTAGTCTAATGCTTATTTAAAACAATTACGTATGTTCATTATTTATTTGTTTTTTGTGTCGTAAAAGTAAATTTTGTCGGGAACATTGTTGTGCAACGAGAAAAAAGAAGAAAACTCATTGAAAAACCTGATGAGGCCTTAATGAAACCTCGCTTTAACGGTTTCTTTTTTGTTGTTGTTTTACTTTTTATTTTATTTTTGCTTTATATATTTTCTAATACGTAATTAATTTACCTCATGTAATTTAGCACGAAATGTAATTTATATACCATTATAATTACCCGCTGTGGCAAATAAAAAGAAAAATTCATTTTTGAAATTATTTTTTTCATTTTAAAGAATATTTGCATTATATTCAACAAATTTTCAATCAATGCAAACAAAAAAAAAAAAAAAAAAAGAAAAAGAAGAAAAACAAATGTTTTTGATTTCGCAAAATATCGACCTGATTTTTCCGCTTATGCATTCAAACAAGAAAAATTTAATTAGATATTTTGTTTTTTGGGTTTCTAAAACAAACAAAAAAAAAAAAAAAAATTGAAAAATATCATCGATTTCGATAGGCGTAATGAAAAATTCAAAAACTTGTTAATAATTATTATTATTTATTTATTTATTTATTTTTTTTAACGAAAAGTTTTTAGATATCTAAAAGTAAATTATGTATGTGCGTGTGTGCTTTTTTTCTACCGTTGCCAAAACTAAAATGCAATTATTCATTCATAGAATCTAGATAATTAATTTTAAAATATTGTCAAATATTTTCTTTGTAAAAGAAAAAAAAAAAATTTAATTTTAATACGGTAGTGATTTAGGTCATTTTGAAAATTTATTGATGTAATAATAATGATTCATATTAAAGTAACAATATTAAATCTGGTGAAAGTTGCATTACGAGGTCGCAGGAATCTGAATTCAATTTTTTTTTTTTTTTGTAAAAATAAATAAAAAAAAAAAAAAAAAAACTTCACTTTCTTATACGTGTATCAAAGTACAAAATTTCTTTTCTTATTTTTTTTTTTAATTTTATAATACGAAGAAACAAATTATACGAATATACACAATTTTTTTTACATGTGTACCAAATTCATTAAATTAATATTATAAAGTAATAATAATAATGGTAATAAATTTGCCAAAAATCGAAAACTTTTTTTTTCTGTATATATTATTACACAATATGATGCATGTAATTATATTAAATAGGTCGTTTTTTTGCCATATATATTTGTATACATATTAGTCCGTATTAAATTTTGTTAAAATAATAAAAAAAAAAAAATTTTTAATAGAATTTAATTTCGATTTTTTTTTTTTACCACGTTTTAATAGTTTTTACGTAATTTTTTTTTTTTTAAGTAATAAATCGAAAGTTTATTCGTGATAATTTTTTTTTTTTTTTTGTTATTTTTAGTCTCTCGAACAAGAAAGGCATAACATTCGAAGAAGATTAGAAAGAGTGACGGAAGAATGCGATTCGAAGGTATCCGAACTTCAAGGGGACGTTTCCGAATTGAAGAAAACTTTAGATTTTCGGGAAGGGCTTTTCAAACAAATGGAAAAAGACAAAAGTCAGTTGATAGAAGAATTGACGGCTCAAAACCAAAGATTAAAAGATCAACTGAAAGAAGTAAATAATAATTATGATGAATTTTAATATTTTACTTTAAAACTTAAACTTAAGTTTTTTTTTTTTTTCAATTAAATAATAATAAATTATTAAAATTTTATTTTCAGAGGGGAAAAACCGAAGAAAATTTAACCAGTCAATTAAGTTCCCTTAGAGATCAGTGCTTGTTAAAAAAATCTTCTCTGCAAGATCATGTCAGTAGTTTAGAAATATTAAGAGACGAAGTGAGTTTGTTTTTTTTTTTTTTTTTCTTTTTAATTAAATAAAAGTTTTCAATAAATTAAAAAAAAAAAAAAAATTAATCATCAAAGGTACAAATTCTAACCGACAAGAAAAGAGATTTAGAAAATCGTTTAGGACAAGCCTGCGAAGAAAGAGACACTTTATCCGCGGCTCTGGAAGAAGCGGTAGAAAGAGTTAGAGTACTTGAAAGGCACACAAGGGATCAGGATTCTCAAATAAGGTTTAAATATAATTTCTTTTCCTTTTCCATCTTCCAACAGTCTCCTTTATTATTATTATTATTTTTATTTAAATAAAAGAACTCATTATTTTGAAAATATTTCAGATCTACTGCCAGAGAATTAGAAAGAGTGAGAGCAGCCAACACCACGTTGGGTGAGCAACTGGATGCAATGCATTCGTTGGATTCTCCTAAACAACAAAGTTTGTTAAATGAAATGGAATGCGATGATGGATTCCATTCTTCTGCTTATTCTAGTGTACGATTACCTTTTTTTTTTTTTTTGGCCATAATAATGGCCATCAATTGATTTTTAAATAATTAAATAAATTGAAAAGTGATATAATAAATAAATTGTTTTTGTTTTTCCAGCTTGAAAAAGAAATAATCGCTTGTTGCGAAACACTTCGAAATATTTGCAATTATTTGAAAAATAGAAATTCAGTTGGATCTGAACCATTTTCCGATCAGTCGATGCTTAGCGATCTCAACGTTTCTAATGTGAAAGTAAGTTAAATATAAGAAAATGAACTGCTATTATTATTATTATTATTATTATTAGAGTTCAAGAGAAGATTGCATTTGTTTTTTTTTTTATAATGAAAGGTCGGAATTCTAACATCGATTGTCGAAGAACTTGAATCCCTTATAAATTTAAATGATGGAAGAAATTCTGGGCTGGACTCGGAAGTTGAAACCAAAATGGAAATTGATTTTCATAGAACGAGAGAAGCACTGGAGCGAGCAGAAAA